CTACTGCCAAGCAGGCTACATCATAACCTGATTTTGGAGATGGCGGGGGGGGTGGTTCATTTTGTCTTCTACAGCAAATCAAAGTTTGAATGCAGAAAGAAGGGAAGGGGGCAAGCTGGCTACGGCGCAGGCTTTTAATCCCAGCACACGGGAGGCAGAGGCAGGCGGATCTATGTGTTCAAGGCCAGCCTGGTCCACAGAGTGACTTCCAGAACAGCTAGAGTTACAAAGTGAGACCCTGCCTCAAAAGAAAAAAAAAGGATTTCAGGTTGCTAAGGTCACACGATGGAAAAGGGTGTTTGCTGCACAATGCTAGGAATCTGAGTTCAATCCTGGGGTCCGTATAAAGGCAAAGGGACTGACTATCTACAGAGTTGTCTTCTGATCGTTATGCATGTGTCATGGCACCTGCGTTGGAGAGCACAGACACACACACACACACACACACACACACACACAATCTACCTATCCATATATGTAATTATGCATGTATATGATTTTTTTAAAAACATTATTCCGCTGAATTGGAAAACCTGTGGGTTCCCATCCCTAAATACAGGGTTGTCTATTTTATGCTTCATTTTCCTCTCCCAACTTCTGTCCTCTTTTTGAATTTGTCACAGCAGGAAGTTCACTTTAGAAGAATACACTCTGTCCTTCCCCAAACTGGCTGGAAGAAGGAAGCCTTTGACCCTGGTTCCTCTCTGTCTCCTTCTCCTATCTCTTCCCTGCCCACACCCTGCTTCCTGGCTGCCCCACGTTGCCCCACTCCGTGTCTCCCATAACCTCAAGAAGTGCAAAGTCAGGTAGGATTGCAGCTGGTAGCTGCTCCACCCTCTCCCACCCACAACCCTCCCACCACTCCACCCCCCCACCCCTCACCCCTGCACCTACTACTCCCAAAGCAATGGGCCTTATGCTGTAAAGCAAATTGCATTTATATCACCGGAGATTAAAATGAAACCATGGTTATGACCTTGAAACATCGTTATAAACGAGTTCCCATTCCACCTTCTGTTTCTCACACCTTCAGTGGACTCTGAAAGCAATGGTTTCACTGCAGAACAATGGTTTTCAGACCCCAGTCCTGGCAAGATCACATGAGAGCTAGCAGCCTGCTAGGCCCAAGCCCATGCTCCTTCAGAAAGTCTGGAAGGAAATTCAAATGTCCTGAGAATTTGAATATGTAACAAATTCTCAAGTGATGCTGCTCCAAGGACCCGCCCTGAGAACCAAGAGCCTACACACAGAAGGTCTAGGGAAAGACCAGGGGGATCTACAGTTCCACTGTCCCTCAACCCTGGCTGTCCTGCTGTCAGAGTCCAGTTTTTTATCAGAGGGCACCATTAATGGGATCATGGTTTGTATGTAAGATGTTCCCAAAGGCTCATATATTTGAGCATTTGGTCTCCAGCTGATGATGCTGGAGGTTTGGGGAGGTTGTGGAACCGTTGGACATGGGGCCCAGTTGGCAGATCCAAGCCACTAGGAACACGCCTTTGAGGAGTGACAGCCAGGCCTTGCTTCTGGTCCCTCAGCACATGGTGAGCCCACATACTCTGCAGTGCCATCCCCAGAACAGACTGAAGCCGTGAACTAAAACTACAGTCCTCCTTCCTCAAGTGGCTTGTGTCAGGTAGCCTGTCACATTGATAAGCAACGTAACTAATATCAACAGAAAGGCAGAGTTTGAACAGACCAGTGGCTTCAAGGATTTTCCCTTTTCCTCTGGCCTCACAAGAAACTCAAGAGTGAAAAAAAGAACCAAGAAAAGGAAAGTGAAATTGTGGGTGTCAAACTGAAGAATGCTTAGCCAGTCAGCTGGAGACATGCCCTCTCATCTTTGCTGTCTTAGCACTTTCTCTGTTAAACTTCCCATGGTCCTTTTCACCCGGCGCTGGAATCAGACTGCTTGTCAGGCAGGTCCTGCTTCCCTTCTGTGTACCCACCCATGTTAATCAGCTTTCTGTTGCTGTAGCATGTCCCCGAGATGAACCACCTGGAAGGCCTTACCTGGCTCACACTTCGGGAGCTACTGATCTGTAACTGACTGATGCCCATTGCATCGGCCTGTGGTGGCCTAGTATGTCATCGAGGGAGCACGCGGTAAAGAGAGTCTTTCACATCATGTCTGAATGCTGAAGGAGGAAGAGACCAGTGCCCAGCAGCTCTCCCCAATGCCCTGACCTAAAGCCTCCCCATAAGGCTTCAGCTTGTCATGTTTCCACTGCCTTTCAATCGTACCAGGCCAAGGATGAATGTAACATTTCACCTACTGGCCTTTGGTGGCCATTCCAGATCCAATACCTCCCATTCATTCTTCCTATGCAAAACTTGGGCAAACAGTAGAAGCTACCCTCATCTGCACTGACTGGCACAGTTAATGTTCACTTTCATCACGAACACTTGTGATGTTTTGCCTTTTCATAAGAATATTCAACACAAGCCGGCATTGGTGGCACATGCCTTTAATCCCAGCACTTGGGAGGCAGAGGCAGAGGCAGGTGGATCTCTGTGAGTTTGTGGCCAGCCTGGTCTACAAAGCGAGTTCCAGGAGGACAGCCTCCAAGACAATACAGAGAAACCCTGTCTCAAAAAACAAAACAAAACAAAAAAAGAATATTCAACACATTAAATATTACTCTACCTAGCTGGTAAAATAGGTTCAGTCATTAACTTAACCAATAATGATCAAGTAGCTCTCATACAGGGAATGTATATTATAGTCCAAATATTGAAATTATAGTCTGTAAAGAACATGTTTAATATAGTATTTTGATCTAGAAATACTGGACTTTGTACACATTTACATTTGAGGGGGAAAAATACCTCCAAAACTGTCTAAGAGGGAAATTGAGAGGATTTTTTTACTAACAATATATTCTGTATGAATAAACTGTAAAATACGAGGGAGAGGGACAGAGAGAAGACACTGACAAACAAGTGTGCAGAATGTGTCGCCTGATATAATCTAGGATATATTTTAGACCATTCGAAAGACCACAAACCCACTTTCCCTAGAAATGATGATTTTATCTATGTGGCAAAATAACAAGGAAGAGATTGGCAAGGGAATTCTAAACACCACATCCACCAGAAAACAGTCAGTTAGCAAAGACTACGCAGCCCTCCAGGTAAGCTTGGGCAGTTCTCTCTTCTACCTCATGACCCTCCATACCCGTCCCATCTCCCCTTCTAAAATAGACAGTGAACAGGTAAGTGCCACACAAACTGAACTTCCCTGCTTCTGCCTTCAAAGGCCCTGGCTCCTCACCCCAGGTTCAGTGTCCTGCTTCACATAAAGAGTGACAGAATCACAAAGCTGCAGGAAAATTGGGTCAAATCCCTAATTACATGGAGAGCCAAAGCTATAGTTTGGACCCCATGTTCAAAGCCAAGCTGTCCTGGGAAGAGTGGGTACAGAGGCCTCCCAACCCTTACAACTCACACCCCAGACCTCACACTTGGCTTAAAAGGAGCTTGGTGGGGGCGTGACACACTATCAGACTCTCCAGAGGAAAACCCCTGAGCTTCAACACTTCCCTGTACTAGCAAATACTGACTGCTCCTGACAGTGGAGATAAAGTTACCAGGAGCAGGAGCCGGTGTCTAAGAGCCCGGAAGGAAGGCCAAGACTCCAAAGCACAGAATTACTAAGAATGAAGGTTACACTGACCAATAAGAGGGCTTAGTAACCCAAAACCACAAAGCCAGATGCTAAGAATTGTGCTTCGGGAATGTGACCCAGGCAATATTTTTCTTTGGTCTTCCATTGAGGTTCTTGCAAAAATCACAGTGCCCCCAACACTTCTACTGAAATAAGATTTTTTTTAGCTTTTAAAAATCTGAATTCTAGTTTATCAGTTTACACCACTCCCAAACCACCTAAAGCGTTTGTTGGTGTGGTTCTGAGGTTTTCTTGTTTTCCCTTGCAAAGGGTCTACTGTGTAGACCTGTTGCTTCGGTAAGGAAAGGACCTTGGAGGTACATGTAGAAGTCTCCGGTTTGGCATGTCATTTAGCCCATTCTGTCTCCAGCACTTTGACAGAGTCTCCACCTGAACCGACTCTGGACCTGCAGATGACCACTGTTGGCGGTTCCTCCGCTTATGTTTACCGCCTCAGAGGCAACCTCCACGCGACCTCTTCTGGCTACAGAAGTCAAGGAATTTGCATCCTCGCTTGGCCAAGGCACCAGAGCCAGCATCATCCCTGGGACCTCAGTGAGTGCTGGCCAAGTTCTGGCACTCAGAAGCCCGGATGAGACAGCAGCGAGGTCACACCTCACTGAAATTTCTGTTTTCTTGGGTTCCAACCTCTTCCTTAGCCACAAACCAAAAGAAAAAAAAAAGTTCTGACTTAAGACACACACAGGGCGGAAGTTCGACAGGTCACCAGAGGCTAAACCGCTGACTGACACCTTCCTGACAGCCCTAATTCCTCCCGCACTCTCGCTGCAGTCCACAAGGTGCCCAGGTGCTGCCAGGGGACAAGCCAGCCCAGGGACAGAGTGGAGCAACCGGGCCAACCCACAAAAGGGGACCCACTGGATAGAATTTCTACAAATGACTGGAGAGCGGGGCTAAACCCACCCGCCACAATCCAGAAAGCCAGAACGGACTGGATTGGAAGTCATTAACCATAATCGCAGAGAGGACTGTCCCAGTACCGTCAGTCCAGAGTACGTACACACACACACACACACACACACACACACACACACACACACACACACACACACACACACACACACTGCCCCAAATGGAGTGGAAGGGAGTGTCAGGTACGTGGTGTCCCAGCCTCTGAGCCCCATGCAGCTGCGGACAGCCGGGCGCGCAGAAGGAAGCAGGCGCTCCCAGCTGCCGCTAGGAGGGATGCTCATTGGCATCGCACCTAGGGAGCCTCGGGGACCTTGGCGGCTGTGACAGCTTTAGACGTTCTCCGCTGATCACTCTTTCCCCGGGTGCCTAACTTTGTCGGGCCGACGCCGCTCTTCCTTACCCAGATACTGTCGCAGGTCGAGCAGGAAGCGAGGGGGTCCCCCGCTGAGCTGGTAGAAGAGGGAGCCTAGGCAGAAGACCAGCAGGGTGGCCATGCAGAAACCGTAGTCTCGGAGGGAGAAGCGTAGGAAAGGCAGCAGCGGGATCCGGCGCTTGCAGCCACCCAGGCACGGAGGGGCGCCCCCCACAGGGGCCCCATGGGGCCAGGGATCCTCGCCGCTGCTGGGATGCTGCTGCTGCTTCTTCTTCATCGCCGACTCCGCCGCCTCGCACAGCCCGCCTGGGCCAGGAAGAGGTCACCCATCCGCCGCCAGCCGGAGCGCCTGGCCGGCTGGCTGCACATGGAGAGGGACTCGCCGAGGGCAACCGGGTGGGGGCGGGGAGGGGCCGAAGTTGCCGGGCTCAGGGCACTCTCCTCATCTTGGTCCCCGCCACCCGCTGCGGCCCCGAAGGGCCCCGAGATGTCCCGGGCCCCGGCGTGAGGGTGGCGATCGCAGCCCGCGCCCGATCGCACGTCCCGCTAGCAGCCTTGCGCCCCAGGTCCCGCTGTGCCCCGGGCTCGCTCACGGCTCGCCACGAGCGCCAGCGTGGACCCCCCGGGCTTTGTGTGGGTCTCGGGCGGCGTGTTTGGTCCCGACTCAGGCTCGGCTAGCTCAAGGCAGGGAGGATCGGGAGGCGGACACCACCCTCTCGCTCCACCTCCTTGACAGGGGCTTCCCTCCTCTCCTCTCCTCCCCTTTCTCCCCGGCGCAGGGCGGCCCCGCTCTCCTCCCTCCCCGACCCTCTCCTCCTTCTCCACCCCAGGACTCCTCGCTCAGCCTGGTGTCACGTTACGACTTCTGCTGGGGCGGGCAGGGAGGGAGGAGGGGGCCGCGGATCAGCAACAAGGAAGAAAGTTTCTGGGTGTGTGTGTGATTTTTTTTTTCTTCCACCATTCTCTACAATCTGGTCTCTTTCCTGCGCCACCAGCGACCTCTTGGGGCCCGCTGACTTCCCTCTCGTAAACAGTTATGTGCTGGTGGATTTGACTACATTTGATTCCGTTTGTCTTCTCACTTTGGAAACTTGGTTCTCTTTCGACATCCCAAGTGACCCATCTACCAAAAACTGATAAAGGGTACTGGGATATAGGTTCAAGACCTAGCTGGGACGGTAAAAGGGCAAGCGGTAGGAGTTATAATTAACTAACCATGCCCGGGAGCGCTAGGCCTGCACATCCTGGCTGAGAATAGGAGGGTGCTGGGTTTTGTTTGTTTGTTTGTTTGTTTGTATGTTTGTTTCCTTCCCTGGTCCTGTGAGCACTCCACTGAGAACAAGAGTACACGGCGGACTCCAGGAAGTCTTTCTAGCAGATATGAAAGGGGGGAACTCTGTCCACTCAGGTACCCGTTTCACTCCTGTCTCTCCTCCCACAGCTGGGAAGTTTCCAGAACGGAAGAGCCAGCGGAGCTTCTCTGACACAGATCTTCTGATGGAGCTTCTGAGGGGTTGAATAGCTGCTCTGTCGGGCACACCCTCGTAATTGTTTATATTTTGTTTCCTTTGCCAGATACAGACGTGATATAGCCTGAGCGCTGCATTACCTTCCTAGTTTGCTTTTCTGTTGCGGTGATAAACACGGTGACCCAAAACAACGTGGAGAGGAGAGGATTTGTTTGGCTGACCAATTCCGGTCCATTCTGGAGGGAAGCGAGGCAGGGAGAACCTAGAGACAGGAACTGAAGCAGAAACAAGAAGCACCCTTGCTTACCGTCACCTACCTCTCCTAGGGCCACCTGCTTAGAGATGGTTCAGCCTGCAGTAGTCTGGCCCTCCTCCTAGCAATCAAGACCATGTTCCCCAGACGTCCCCACAGGCCAGTCTTCTGGCTGGCGGCAATTCCTCGGTGATGGTTTGCTTTTCCAAGGTGTGTCAAGTGGACAACAACACTGACATACAGTGGCATAAGCTGGTAGGACTCTGAACCAGTCAGGTGCATTAACCTCTGCAAGGTGGCACAGGCCAGATGGGGCTTTGTCGTGGTTTGCTTGAGATTCGAAAACAGGCCGTTTTGCTTGGACCACATGTTTCTGACGCCTCTCATCTTCCATCCCCATCTCATGCTAAATATTCCAGTAATGGGGGTCAGGGGGTCGGGTGGGGTGAGAACCTCATAACTCCGGGACTGTCCTCCAGAAAGCCTTTAAAAAGTTATGCATCCAGAGAATGCTTCATGGAAAATTGAGGAATGGGATCCTGGACTCACAATGAAAGAACAGTATATACGCTGGTTAGTTTCAAAGGTAAGCACAGCACAACCTTCATTTACGTGATAGAGGCTCAGTTAAAGGAATTGCCTAGACTGGATTAGCCTGTGGGCCTATCTGTGGGGGACTGTCTGTTATTATTTAATGTGGGAGGGTCCAGCTCACTGTGAACAGTACCATTCCCTGGGCAGATGGTTCTGAACTGTATAAAAGAGCTGAGCACCACCGTCCCAGCCAGCACTGTTCCTGATGCACTTATTTGGCCGTGAAGTGGGGTCATTCATTGGTCAGGGGTAACCCTGTTTGGAATAGCAAACAGGCCTGCCTTTGAGTCCCTTCAGTGAGGAAATGTGATTTGGAATTGTGAGCCAAATAAATCCTTTCTTCCTAAAGTTGCTTGTGGTCGAGTTACTTGTCACAGCAACAGGAATAAAAACTGAACCAATGTGGATTACCCGTGACCTGAATACAAACTTCCTAATATAGAACACAGACGATAACAGCACAAACCACAAGCCAGAGCAATGGTTCTCAACCTTTGGGGTCAAATGACCTTTTCACAGGAGTTGCCTAAGGTCATCAGAAAACAAAAGATACTGAACCAGGACCCCTGAACGTGGGTGCCAGTTGAGGGGCCTGTGCAATCTATGGGGCCTCTGACACTGGAACCAGTATTTATCCCAAGGGCACTAATGGACTTTGGGAGCCCATTCCCTATAGAGGGATACTCTCTCAGCCTAGATACATGGGAAAGGGCCTAGGTCCTGTCCCAAGAGATGTGACAGATGACTTTGATGATCCCCCATGGGAGGCCTCACTATTTTTGAGGAGTGAATGGGGTGGGATAGGGAGTTGGTGGGAATGGAAGGATGGGAGAGAGGGAACTAGGATTGGTATGTAAAATAAGGTTGCTTTTAATGCAAATAAAAATTAATTAAAATATAATTTTATGGTTGGGGGTCACCACAACATGAAGAAGCGTCTTAAAGGGTCACAACCCTTAGGAGGGTTGAGAACTGCTGAGCTAGAGAGCTGGGAGATGGGGAGAACAACACATACACAGATATATTCTCAAAGAGTCACCCCATGTGCACAGACTGTCCTTACCTTACATTGTCCCGGCCACTTTCTGAGGTTTAGGAGAACTGTTTGGGACACCAAGTAGGTAACAGGCCCTTTGTTTGTCATAGGAACTCCCAACGAGTGTGTTAATGGTTGGCTTCACATTTGCTCTGTGAATGGGAGATATATCTGGATTAATGTCACACTTTAGAACTGTGACTGTCCCTTGGAGAATTCAGCCCATCATCCATTGCTCATTAGTGAGAATTACTTTAACCAGTACAATGAGTAGCCCAGAATAGATTTCCAATTAATAATTTCTGAGTTGATAGAGATGGGCCAGGAGACGGGAGTTGCCAAGCAATCTTGGTAATGTTTTAGAGACGTCCTCTGACAAAGTGATCCTGGGGCAGAGCCTGGTCCTGTGATCTGAACCTTCACTGTGGGTGAGACCCTCTGTGTTTGTGATCCCACCCCTGGTTTCTGGAGGCAGCTTTCAGCATTCTGTGGGAAAAGGCCCACTGGCTGTAAGGAATCTGCTGAGCAGCAAGGAGGCAAACACACATCTGAGACAATAAGTAAATGTAGAAATTTTTAAAAAAGAAAACAGAATAAAAACACAGTAAGGGGGATAGCAAGTAGCTCAGTGGTAGAGCCCTTGTCTGGCATGCACATAATGTCCAGAGTTCAATTTCTGTTATGGAAGGGATAAAGGTTGGCATCAAGAGCAATCGTGGAGAGCTGGGGAGATGGCTCAGTCAGTAAAGTGCCTGTCTTGAGAGCACGAGGGCCTAAGTTCAATCTCCAGAACCCACAAAATAAAAGATGGGCAAGGTAGCACATCTTTGTAACCCCATTGCTGGGAGGTAGAGACAGGTATGGGGCTCACTGGGAGCCAGCCTAGCCTACTTGGTGAGTTCTAACTCAGGTAGAGACCCTGTCTCAAATACAAAAAGAAAAAGAAAAATGGAAAGAAAGAAACACACACAAAGGTAAGCATCACCTGAAGAGCAACACATAGGTTGTCCTTTGGCCTCCAAATGTATGTATACACACATAGTCACATACACATATGAACCCACACACACACACACAAAGCAAAGACAAGGCTATGAGGAGAAAACTATGACAAGAACGAAACAGGTCTGATTTATTTAAAAGTACCAACAGCCTAGCCATCTTTTAAAAACCTACAGAAGAAGCTGGGTGGTAGATGTGCTACACACCTTTAATCCCAACACTTGGGAGACAGAGGTACGAAGATCTGTGGTGACATCTTTCTTGCACAAATAAAGCCTGTCTGGGGGTCAGAGAATGGAGCTTGCCACTCAATAACCATAGAGGTTTGGAGGTCTGTACAAACAGGCAGTAACAGGATATAAGCAGGAACAAACAGGAAATCTGTCTTCTCTGCAGAGACACTGAGCAGTCATCATGTAGTAGGCAAAGGAGTTGCAGGTTCGGCATTCTCTGGTAAGCCAAGACCACATGGAAATAATTAGATTAATAGAAATTGGTTAGTAATTAAGACAGAGCTAGCCAACAAGAAGCCAAAGCCATCAGCCAACAGTATAACTAATATAGCATCTGCATGTTCATTTTGGGCTGATGTGACTCTGGCTAGCCTCAAACTCAAGTTCTACAAGAGCTAGTTCCAGGACAGCCAGGGCTAAACAGGGAAACCCTGCTATAAAACAATACAACAAACAAAAACCCTTAAAAGTAACAAGGAATAAAGAATTCTCATATAGAAAAAAATGGTTTGTGAAAACCCAAGTGTTTTAATAACTTTGTTCTTCAAAGGCCCATAAAAAATCAAATGTTTATCTTAATAAATGGTATCTTTATCTCCATAAATTACCCACCCTTGAATATTTTCCTGATACAACAGGAGTTTAGTAGAATTATTGACTTTATTTTATTTAAATGAATGTTACAGAGAAGATAATATTCATGGCACGAAAATAGACACCATCTATATGTTTTCAGAAAGAAATCACATGCTGGAAGGACTGTCAGTGAGGGCTGACATGTCCCATTTCCTGGCACACATACTACAATTGTGTCTAGTTGTTACAATGCAGTGCTGTCTGTCTCCCTGGCTCTAAGAGTTCCTAGGGAAGATTTTTTCCTTCTACAGAGAATTTTCATTAAAACTATTTGTTTCATTTATCTAAAAACCTGATCAATTCATTTATAAATTTATTTTTCAGAATAAAAACTATCCAGCTGGAGAGATGGCTCAGTCATTAAGAGCACTGGCTGCCCTTCCAGAGGACCCTGGTTCGATTCCCAGCGCCTACAGGGCAGCTCACAACTGTCTGTAATCCAGGGTATCTGACTTCCTCACACAGACATACGTGCAGACAAAACACCAATGCATATTAAAATAAAGATAAATGAAATTTTAAAA